ATCAAATAGGAGGCTGCAAATGCCAGCAATGCACAGGAAATCAAGGTTGCTATTGCTAGCTGCCTGTTCTAGAGTGGGGAGCTCAGGTGTTTATGTCAAAGGAGCTTGCCATGCCCACTCACAGTATTTGACGGTTTGGGACATAGATGTGCAAACAAGAATTTTCTGCTGTAAGGAAATGTCAGGCTTCTGAAACACAGAGCCAGAGCAAACCCTGGGTGGATGAAGCATTGCTTAGCACAAACAGCAAGCCCTGTACAACAAAGCTGTATAATTACATGTGCATGCAAAGAGGACTTCATCTTTACCTATTAACTATTCAAAAAGTTGTGAATAACATGCATATGGTAACCGGTGTGGATCATTTGAAGGCTAAAATGTTTGATGTCTCAAAACTCGTTGGGCAGTGGCTGATTTTCAGAATTTATTAAATGAAACTTTATTGGAGGAGTGGTGGAAAGCATCCTGAAAAGTGTTCCTGTATACATACTTGATTATTTTTTTTACAATTTAAGAGCAGCTATAAGTACTTTTGTGAGTTAGAACAGGGATGAAGCCAATGTTCATCACTTCAGTTTTTTATGTGATCCCTTTGTGTGAAAATACATGTATAAAATTTTAACCCACATAGAAAATTGAGACAGTGACAGTAGAAAATTAGTGTTGCTTTAATCAAGAACATGATTTGTTGTGCTCAGCATGTACGCTAGAAATCTATCATTTTCAAGTACCCTTTTCAACTAGTCCATACATATAGATTTGCTATCTTTGCATATATCTTGGCTATTTTAGGCCTCAAACTGGGCTTTTATCTCCCATGTCAAGCCAGCAAGGCTCTTAATGAACTCCTCTATCTGGGAAGATGTATGGCCAGCAGTGAACACAGCAGTGACATGGCTTTCTACAAAGTAAACCAACGTTTATTATAACTCAACTGGCAGACAGCTCATAGACTTCCGCTGCTGGTAGGGCAAAGCCAAACTTAGACTTGGGACTGGTGCGCTGGAGAGTTAATGCAGAAACTAGGTTGTACATAGAGAGTATAGAAACCCTCCTGTATGGATGTTCATGGCCTGTAAGGAAGGGGCATCTTCTGGTTGTGCAACTGCAGTATGGCATCACTAAGTATATCCAAATGGGGAATTAATTCAGCTTAACTGATGCTTTGTGAATTTACACCCCAACCTCCTCGCTGAGCTCTCTGTGCAGACAAGCCTAGAGGAGTGCCTCTGCCTTCCTCATTTTTTCTTCCAATCTTGTCTCCCCTTAGAAAAGCCAAAGTTTTTTTTCCAAACTCTTTATGACCAGCCGGTCATTAATTTCAGGTTAAGTCAGTGGGAATTCTGCTGTCTCTTCCAAGATACTTATTCCTAAATTAATGATTACTTTCATTTTTGGTGTTTGGCAGTCTAAATACCTGCATGCTAATTATCTGTCTCCTTCCCTTACTCAAGTGAAGAGACTAATATATATCTATTTGGTGCATAGGAAGGTGAAAAACTGCTAATGCTGATAAAATACTGGGAAGACTTCTAAATTCTTTATCAAGATGTATATTTTGGAGCTCTGTTTCTCCAAATTATGAACTTGATTGGAAAGGGGGTTATCCTTCTAGCTTTGATCTGACTCTGGTAACTGAAAGTTGAGCCCTGACAAGGATTTTTATCTCCTTGTCTGTGTGTGATAAAACATCTCTCTTGATTCACTAGCAATGCTGCTTGAATGGCACTGAACAATTTTTACAGGCTAGCCTTGAGATATTCAGTTCACAGCTAATGCTGATTTGAATAGGAATATATTCTAGCTCATTAATTTGTTGGGTGTTGTGATGAAAAATTAGTTAACGACTTATGAAGCAAATTTTGATGTCAATAAAAGGAAAGAACTTTCATGTCTTCGTGCTGTTGTCAGTGGTCAGACTTTTGTGTTTGACTCATCTTTGGCAATATAAAACACTCTATTTCACTTTTATCAGTTGGCTCCAAAATAGCTGCTTGTCTTCACTTCTCTCCCCTCCTCCTTTTATTCCTCTTTGCCTCTCCATTTCTTTTTAATTTACTGATTGTCTTATGCAGAAAGGAGCACTGGCACACTCAGCTAGCGGGTCTTTGAAACAGTTAAAAGAGATAAGAGATGTATTTGGGTTGGCAAACCCCCCTGGCCGTGGAGCTGGAGGTGCTGGGCTGCGCAGAGCTGTGTGTTTTGTGTTCAGAGGCCGAAAAGTCCTGCTTTGGTGGGAGTCAGCCAGAGTGCAGCATTGAAAATGAAGTTTCTTCAAAGCTGTGTGTTCTGAGCTGGGGGATTTAAGCTGGAATGCTTAAGACGCTCTCTCTTAACTGGTAGTATCTGCTTCCACAGAGTTTATTTTCTAATAAATGGGGAAATCCTTACTGAGATGAGATTCCTATGGGAACTTGCAGTTTGACCAGTGTCAGCAGCTTAATGAGTAGTTCTGGTTAATAATTAGTCAAGCAATATCATAGTATAAGGTTTCGGTAACTGCTGAGATATCGATCTGAACAGTGCTTCAGAGGTTACATGTTGTTTACAGAAGATGAAAATCCCCTTCCCTAACTCATTATTTTTAATCTATCCTATTACTGCTAGTCAGTCCTCCTGCAACTCAATGGTGCCTCTTGTGACATTCATCCCAAGGCATTTCACAAAATGAAGTAGAATAAATAGCTCCAAGAAGCCAGGCTAAACAAGCAAAAGAGATAAAAGCAGAAAACCATATTGGTGCTGCTGAGTGAGGAAGGGAAGTTGGGATCTGAAGACCTCCGGAGCCTAAAATCTCAGAACTGCAAAGCCTTGCATATGAAAATCACCAACAGGCCGGTGGCCCTGAACGTCGAGGCACAAGATGAAAGGGAAGGTTCATGCAAGGGGCTGAGACCAGCAAAGCTGGGTCAGCTAGAGTTGTCTTTTTTTGGGACTGCAGTGGAAAAAAAAAAAACCCCAAAGAAACCCCAACAGTTCAGGCACCTCTTACCTTTTTTTTTTAAAGTTTATTTCATGACACAAAGATAAGACTATTATTTAATGCTTATTTTATGTAACATTTCACCAGGCTATTAAAAAATATCTGGTATTTATATTTCTTGACAACTGCATAGCACACCACTTGACGTTTATATGATTGTTGGTGGAGGGATCAGACTGAACTAGCTTAGTGTCCCATGGGATTTATTGCTGCTTTGAAGGGGCTCGTTAGGCTTTCCCTGGGGAAGGACAGGGTAGTATAAAGTGAGGTTATGCAGCGTTTTAGCTTCCACTTTAAAAAGGCACGGTGTTTCCCTGTTTTGTTGCAAAACTTTAAACTTGACCTAATTGTATTTAATGCCTGCCCACATATTTGGGAGCCTAAATAGTAGGGTTATAGGAGCTATATTCTGGCAAGTTCCTGTACATTAGACAGGGCTACAGACTACAAGATTTATTGTACAGGAATATTTTATCTTGTGATCTTAGAAAATAAGCCTTTTATTGGCTTGTATTTCTAAACCCTAGTCATGTTGTGGTTGGGGATGTTTAGCACCGGCTGATGTTTGTTGTGAAACAAACTGGAAGAGATCGTCATAACACTTACTTCATCGTCTGCACGTGACAGGTTATGGCAGTGCAGCTGTGAACTTTTTCAACTGGGGGAAAAGGATTTTACCCAATCAAGACATTGATCTGGTAATCTTTTCCATTATCATGAAAAACAAGAATTTTAGAACTGAACCAGAGTGTTTCACAAGAGAATTAACATGTTAAAGGAATGAGATTTAATGGCAAAACTTGTAAATATTCAGAAAATGCAACTTCTTTGTATTGTAACTTACACATTGAAAACTTAGTTCAGGCAAGAGCAATGAGGTGTGAAATGTTTTGTGGTTTTTTTCGTGAAGAAGTACACTGAAGAAAGTGTACTTGGAGATTCAAAAGTCTTCTGACAAATTCCTGCACGAACATCTGTTGTAGTTAACTATCACCAGGGATGCTTTGGGATATCGTGTGGTGAGATGGGACACAGTATCCAGCAACACTGGGATGTGGATGTAGTAAAAGAAATCTCAAGGGAGGCTTACTTACATCTTTCTTCTTTTCAGCTTTATTTTTTGAACCAAACTGAGAGAAGAGGGGGGAAGCCTCTTCCATTCCCACAACTCTCCCCGAAGTGGGATGGCCGAGGTCAAAGACCGAATCAGCCCAGCTGAAACTTCAGTTCCCCTGCTCTGTTGAACAGCAGTGCCCTTGCACACCTCTACGATTTGTTGTTTCTTGGGAAGCAATGCAGGGAGGGAGGGGGTTTGAACCACTGTGGTGCGGGGAGGTGAGATGGGAAGGTGCAGATCCATGGGTAATGAACCTTCCTTAACTTTCACAGCCCATGAAATAACTAATTTTGCTAAGTACTGTGCTTCTCAGGGTCAAAATTTGCCATCTCTTACTAGACAAAACTAAATGGCTTTGCACTGGCACCGCTGAAAATGCGTTATTTTGTTTCCCAAGTTTGGTGGCTGTGTCGGGCTGCAGGATATAGGTAGGTTTTCAGTGTTTTCCCTTGAAGTAGACAACTGCTGTGCTATAGGTTGAGTGTTGTGTATGGAAGATTGCTGCGCACCTTAGTTAATTAGAGCTTTTCGTAGTTCTGGCTCTTGCTGCAGTAGCGTTTACTCCTCATTGCTCTGTGTTTTGATGCAGTTTTGCTGCCAAGTGAAGAAATTTAGGGTGTAGAAGTGTTTATGTAGAAGGAAGGCTTTCCAGCCATCAGTGCAATGAACTTTCGTGTCACATCAATCCACTCCTGTTGACTTGCCAGCATCCTTCAAGCTAATACCTACATTTTTACTGTGTATGTCTCTTCCCTGTAAAAGGTATAGAGTATTCCTTGTTTTTCCCCAGTAAGTTGTGAAGCTTTAATGTGCCTATATATTTTACTTCTGAAGATGTCAACAGAATATGAATGTGTATTTTAAAAGGTTTGATTTCATGCAAATGTCTCCTCTGTGTAGGTATGCTATTCTTTGCGGGCAGTTATCAGAACATGAGAGTATTCAGAAGCGCATTCAAACTGGATATGTTTTTAAGGTGAGTAGAATAGACATGCTGGTTTTTGTGTAAGTATTTCTACTTATTTCTATAGTAGTAAGTTAGGAAAATTGGCTCCAGCTCTTATTAGGGAAGGGATAGGTCTTAAAGAGATGCTATGAGTGGGTGGTTTGGGCTGAGGATGGTGATTCCAGCGACATGTCATGAGGGTGACTGGTATGGCTCTACACTTTTGTACACTATAATCTCAGAAAAAAGAAGAAGAAGAAAAGTCTTGCAAATAAAATTTATGTATATGATGAGACTAAGAACTTGAAACGTGAAACTACCATGTGGTAATAGGATACAGCACCAACTCTTCTTCAGTAACTGCCTGTGAGCATGCTTGCACCCTCCCTAAAAGCAAAGCAGTTATTTTTCAAAAAGGACTTAGTCTGCCTCAGACTCCTTTATTTGCCTTTCATCCACAGTGGGGATGTTACACGGTAAGAGGATGCACCTGGAACAGTTACTACAGAACAGGCCACATATAATTATTACCTTGTCAGCTATTGACATCACCAGTAAGTTGATTATGTCAAAGCTCTGAAAAGGTGGTAGAATAAACTGAAGGGCAGCTTCATTTTTTTGTGTGTAGTGATTCTTGTCTCTGAGGCTGATAAAATGCTGTTTTTCTGTGTTCACTGAAACCATTTTAAGAAAGTTTGACATCTCTTTGTAGCTGTAATTTTATTGATCACTTTCACTTAAATTGTGGACTTCTTCCTTTCCTCTTTCCATATTTGTTCATCTGCTTTTGTGGATATTGTATTTGCTTATAACAAAAATGTGATATGTGTTGGTCGTGATTTTCCATAGGAACACATTGATAAAGCAATTGAACTGAAACCAGAGGATCCGCAGTCTTACTATCTTTTGGGCAGGTGGTGTTACCAGGTAAAATAGTTTATTGCTACTTATTGCTGTTTTCTTCCTCCTTGGATTTTAATTCCCTGTTTGAATGAAAGATAGGTGGATTCAAACCACCAGCCATTAAGGACTGAGGACACTTTAATTGCTGAACTCAGATACTGTATCAGAAAGGACAGGCATGGAAATGTCCTAGTTGCCTGAAGAAGTAGTTTAAAAGTTGCACTTGCAGGGGATCTAGAAACTCTTCATTTCAATTCTGAAACAGTGCCAGGAAAAACACTTCGCTGATCAGTACTGTAAATGCATTGCATTCAGAAACCTCTCATGATGTAAAAGCTCATGTTCTTGTACATGTAGCACCTCAATGCTTTTATAAAAGCACTATTGCAACTATTGCTTGCCAGGACACAGTGTCATTCAGAATCTCTCAGCTTTCCATCTAAGTTGTTTTCTTAACTGTAATTGAGAAGTCTTAGGCAGTCCATCTCCCTCTTGTCTTCTTCCTATGAAACCTGAAATGTGTACCTTCATACTGGTGTTACCACTCAAAGCACTAGATTTGAAATGGTACAGGTTTTTAATAAGAGTTTATGTAAGTTCGTAGCAAGAGAGGGACTACAGAAACACGGAGGTGGTGATCAGGACAAGTGCTGGCTGAGCCCATTTTCAGCGTGTTGCTCTGTGCTAACAATCAAAGGCCAGGAGAAGATAGAGAAAGGTTAGTGGTATTGAAGACACACCGAAGTTTTTAAAATCATTAAGAGTGCGGTTTTGTATTGGCAATGTCATTTGCTCTTGCTATTGTAATACTTTTGTCCCCAGATCAACAAAAGGCTTTAAAAGTACTTGGTGAACCTCTGTGCAATAGAGTAAAAGCTGTTGGGGTCTTTGCTGTTTCATTTATTTATTGCCACTATTCTGCTCTTCATTTTTCCCCTGGTTTTTGCCTCTTTCGCAGAGGGAAGCTGTTTGCTAAAAGTGTTATTTCTGAACTGCTCTGAGTTGGAGATCTGGAGGGTTTGGGGCTCCAGACTTAGTTTTTTAGTCACTGCAGGCGGCATGGGAGGTGAAATGGCAAAGAATGGATTAGGAAAAGCACTAGCTGCAAACTAGCTTGCTGTTCCCCATGCTCTACTCAGTAAAAACAAACTACCTTCGATTCTTTAAGCACATATGGATGCGATCAAGGGCATTTCAGGGCTGGCAAGAGCTTCTGCACACAGTATATCTGTATAATCTTTTGCATGTGTTTCCTCTGCCCTTGCTGCACAAAGTATTGGAGGTATTAGAAGCAGTGTGCCGGCTGCTTTATATTTCTTGACAGGGAAAAGCTTGGAGTCAAACACCATACATCAGATTTAGTGCCTATAAAAAGAAATAAGAGTTTGCAGTAACTATCTACTTTTCAGTTTATACAATTTGAAAGTGCTTTGCTGCTGTCAAAATTGAAGTCACATTGCAGAGATTGTAGCTGAGATAATTGACACTGGTAATTACAGAGAAACAGTGAGCTAAACTAGTGGGAGCTCCTAGCTCTTTATTCTGTTGTGGATTTTCTACTCAGCCTTACTGCTCTTAATGCTGCTGAAGCTATGAAACGAAAACAGATGTATGTAGAAATATGTTAGTGCTTCTGCTATTCTGCATTATCAGAATTAAATGGTATTAAACAAAGAAGATATCAGAAGTTACGGTCCTATGCATCCTTTCCCCCATTGAAATTTCAGGGCGTTTCTTATGAGAGAGGTGCTGGGAGAATAAGATTTTATGAAATAATTATAATAGCTACCTGTTTCTCAAAATGTGACTGTCTGTTGGTGGGAAGGCTTTAGCCTGCCTCTTTCAAGGGATCTTTGTATGGTGAGGATGTGTTCTTGTACAAGATTTAAGCCAGGAGGGCTCCATATGTGCATTTGCTCTGATGCATAGGTGGGAACTGCCAGGAACTGGTATGGTTGCAATACAACGGTTTGGGATTTCAGACCACACACACTGTAATATTCAGTTGTAGAGACAAATCTTACTTTGAGCATTATGCATGTGGCAGCTGATGTATGGAACTGCAAAAGCTGACCCGGGACAAGAAAAAGCAAATCATGTTTAATTCTGTGGCCAGACGTGGATACTCCTCCAGAATCTGCTGACACTACCAAGATCTTTGCTTTCTCCCAGGTGCACAAGCCAGCTACAAGAAACTGGATAATTCCTTGTCTGTATACTTTTACATATGCTGTGTCTCTAGTGGGTTTGACAGTTTCATCTTACTGTCTCTGCAGGTTTCCAACCTGGGATGGCTAGAAAAAAAGACTGCTTCTGCTTTGTTTGAAGCCCCTCCTACAGCCACTGTACAGGATGCACTGCAAAACTTCTTACGGGTAATGAAATCTGATAAGCAAGGGAATCACTAACCTGACAAATACAATCACAATTGTGGAATTGGAGTACTTGCGTTCTGCTTAAACTCACCACTCCCCAAGCACTCCATGATACAGCTCCATTGACTAGAACCTGTGGAAGAAAAAGCTGGTGAAAGCAAAAATTTTGGAGCCTCTGTTACAGAACAGCCAGTCAGAAGAACGTGATTTTGAAGATGTCAGAACTAGACCCAAAGTGTTCAGAATTGTTTTTAAGGGTTTTGGTTTTCCTTTTAAAAGCTGCATAGTGGAGTGATTCATTACTTGGTACTAAATACATATGGTCTGTACTCTTTCAGGGTCTCTGAGATCTGTTTGAGCACATCCCTGGGAATGCTTGTGTAGATACATTCTGTCATTTTAATTTCTCTCAGAGTATTTTATTAGGTCAAACTTCTCCATTTCAGACTTTTGAAGGCAACTACTTTAAGGTTTCAGGGGCACATTGCTTATGTATTTCTAGAAAGAAATTCTTACAAGTACTTCCTATGTTATAAGAATCGTACCCTCTGAATGGCTTTTTTTTTTTTGTCCTCCCATTGTTGATTTAAGACATGGCTTGAGTTGCATGTTTGAGCATATAGCTCTTGTTGCAAGGGTCTGCACAAGATGAATGAGTTAAACAGGCTGTCTTTGGCTGTGCCTGTGAGAACTACTCTTAAGTACATCTGATGAAGTGTTACAGAAACAAATTGCCCTACCACTTTATAACTCATAGATTGGGCCACCAGTTCTGCAAAGTGCCAGGGAATAGCATACTTACTTCAATTTCTTATAATTTTGCCAAAATGTAGTTGGTTGAGAGGGAAGTTTGTGATAGGTACCTGCCCTATGCAATGCACTTTTCAACCAAAGTGGTTAAATCATTTCAGACATAAGTTTGAGGCAAAGTGTTTTGTTTCTTTTCATTAGAGAGAAAAATAGCTTATTGCTTTTATTGATAAGTTAGAGTGGTGCTGTGGTTTGAAACAGGAACTTGCATTTTTCTGAGGTTTAACTTTGGTCAAATACAGAGAGAATTTTAAAAGGACACAAAAAAGTTCCTCTGGAAGCTAATTATCCCCTGAACAAGTGCGCTTCCCATGTGCTCAGCAGAGTCTGTTTCAGCTTTCAGCCACAGTTGGCATGCTTCAGGGGAATGGAAATCTTCCGGCAAATTGCAGCTCTGGGTTAGTCACAAGCTGAACTAGGTCTAAGGCCAGACAACAGAATTAAGAGGAGGAACATTGTCTGTGTTGTGCTCTCAGTGCTTCTTCTGAGGCCTGGGCTCAGGCATCTTGGTGGAGCATGTTGGGGAGTTTGAATGCAACTGGGATACGGGTCGATCCAAGGGTTTGTCATAGGAACATACTGGAACAAAGTTGGTTGGAGAGTGATGACTATAACTGAGATGAATGGAAGAAGGCAGAGGGATGTGAGTAACTAGGAAACTGGGAATTAGTAGCCGGGAAGGAGAAGATAAAAAATTGGGGGAATATTCCTGAGGTTTGGCACCAGCATATTCAGGAGAAGCCCCAGTGGATGAGATTGAATGGGCAAGGAGGTTAAAAATAGTGCACGCACATGTTCAGGAGGAGGTCGTCAAGCTGGTTCCGAGTTTCCCTTTGCTTCTGAGTGCTCAACTTCACCTCACCATTCTTCCATGATGCTGACGTTAAGTGAGAGTATGAATGTTGTTCATTGAGTCACAGGCACTTTATGAGAACCTGAGGACTTTCCTAACCCAGCCAGGCAAGCCTATGAGAAATTCTGACACTGATCTATGTATTTACAAAAGTAGGGCTTAGTCATCTTTTTTTTTTTCTTTTCTTTTTAAGAGATGCAGTAAGCCTGATGTAAGCATTAACTGTGTCCTTTGCATATCCTAATATCTGCTTCTCTCAGCCTGTCCCACCCTCCCCTCTGTTCTTTGTAGGTTGAGGAACTGAGCCCAGGATTTTCCAAAGCAGGAAGAGTATACATTGCCAAGGTAACTAGTCACTTGTTGCTTTCTTTCGTTCAGTCATATGCTTCTAGGATAAGAAATATTTGTATTAAAAAATTGTCTTTGTCTGTAAAGTGCTAAGCATGTGTAAATTACTCCATGCAGAAGCAAGATTTTATAAGATGATCACATTTCTAAAAAAGGCCAAATTATCTAGCGCAGAGGCATTAAAATTCAGGGAGGATTTTGCCTTTGAGTCATCCAGTGGAGCATCCTCCTTGTTTTTTAACAGATCAAATTCTATATAAAGCAGTACTTGTAAACCACAGGCTGGAGGTTTAATCCCACCACCACCATGGATTTCTGTGGTGTGTACAGAAAGAGAATCATCGAGAAAAGTAAAGGATAAAGTATGTCTCTATTTTACCAATACAGATGGGAGTCTTGAGTGATGATTAAATACACCATGAGTGCATGGAGCTGGAGCTCCAAAGATCTTTGTTTGCATTGAGGGAATAATTGGTTTTGAACTCTTAAGTGTTAAAATTGCTGCTTAATTCCTACAACCTCCAGTTGGAGCCTAGAAATATTTAAAGCCCAAATAGCTTTAGAAATATTAGCCAGAGTGGGTGTAGCAAAGAGTAGCTATAGTCATTCTCTGTGAAATTCCTGAATTCCCAGTGTCCCAAAGACTGTGAATTTTATCAGGGTAGCGTGCAAGTCGTAGGATCTGCTTGGTCTGGAGTACATTATTACTGGAACCTAGGTGCAGAATTTATTTCACAATAAGCATCTTGTTGAAGGAAAATGAAGGTGATAGCAGAGGAGGAGTAGCCTTCACACCAGCTGGACTTTGTCTTTGATACATTGCAACTCACTCTGTGTGTTTAGTCATGAGCCTATTAGGTTAAATCAGCTATGTATTTGTAAATCAGCTAGCCTTTTGTTTCTGGCTGCTTATGTACCATGATGAATGTGCTCTTAATTGCTTCTTTCTCTGCTTGTAAATATAGCCAGCATTCATGCAAATTCAAAATCACCCCTAAATGTCTTGTATAGAGTGAAGAATGGAAGACTTGGAACTTATTTCCAGCGAAGTTGCAGCAGCAAATCCTTGCAAGTCTTAACCTGAACAGATTTTCAGAGTTGATATAAAAATTTGGGTTTCATTGTGTGTAATCTGATAGGTTTTTATTGGGCTAATAGTTCACCCCATGTCTGGCAGATGTGACTGAGCTTCAGAAATACTCTGCAAACACAAATTACCATAGAGTTTAATAGGACTAGTTGCATCTGTTTGATTTTGTTTCGGGTTTTTTTTTCCTAATCCCAGGCTCTGTCACTTTGGATCACATACTTAATCACAAAATTTAAAAAGTGCAATTATTATCTAATTATTTTGAAGGAGATAGGACTCTGATGGGTCAAATTTCAAAGGAAAAAAGAATTGTGTTTTATAGTCATCTTCTGACATTTTTGACTGATATGCAGGGACACAGGGTTTTTAAAGGCTTCAAGGATGTCCATGACTCCATCTGTTTTGGATTCACCAGATGCAGAAATTTGACAGTGCTCACAGCAGAACAGATAGTTCTCTTTCAGAACTATCCGATGACACAGGAAAACCACCAAAATACACACATGCACATACTGTGCAGTGACATTTCAGAGTCTGAAGTAATAGCCCTGCAGGAGTTTTAACTGTCATCCTTATCCTAACTGAATGTTGGCTTTTCATGGCAATTACAACAATGATTAACTGCATTGCTGATGTTTGGTTTTTTTTTAGCAGCCACTTCCTTTTACCATGCTTGTTTCATAGTCCCCAAATGCCTCTGTGACTCTCTAGGCACTGAAAACCTTCCTATTACACAGAGGGATGACTGTTTCTCTGCTATTGGAGAAGAGTTCACGATGTAGAATATTTCACACCTGTTGTGAAACCTGAGAGACCTGTAAATATTGGATGTTACAGTGCTTGCAGTTGAACCTAATTTTTAACAGCCTAGGGAATGTAAGCTTCATAAGATGATGTGCTCTCGGTATAGAGGTTTTATGATGAAAGAGGTGTGAGGAATAGTGGCTAAATGGAAATAAAAATAGTTTCGAAAATGGTGAAAACCACAGGGACACCTTAAAATTTCCAACTGAAAAACCAATCTCCTTGCCCAAAACAAACAAAAAAACCCAACACAAAAATGAAAAAAAAGGAAATCTAGTATTCCATAATCTGATGGTGATTATAATGCTTTGTGAATGAAGGATACTGCAGGAAGTGTCAGAAGCCTGAAACTACGCTGTGCAAATGGTTAAGAGGTAGAAATAGCTCTTTTTATCAGTTGCCAGGGTTCACAATTGCTCAGTTACATTTGCTGCCTATTTTTTCCTGTTTAACTCTTCTCATATTGTCATTTTTTCTTCACAGTGTTACAGGGACCTGGGGAACAACTCTGCAGCTGTTCTCTGGATGAATCTTGCTTCAGAGCTGCCAGCTAATACAAAAGAGGTAGCAGTCTCAGTAAGCACACATTGATGATGAGCAGAGATAAAATGGCTACAGAGATAAAATTGTTTTCTAAAAGATGTTCCAGCTTGTAAGCCCAGGTTTTAAAGTCTTTTCCTTAGTGTGAACTCTTTTCTCCTCTTGGAACCTGTTATCCAAATGCCTAAAGCAATTCAGCAAAATAATGACAAATATTAAAAAGTCGAGAGTATGTCTGATACAGGCTTAGAAGTCCAGCACACCACCACGCAAATACTGTGTTACTTGCAGGGTTAGGTTACAGACACATTTGAATGCACAGCACGTATTCAGCACTGCCGCTCATAAGCTGGAATTTCTGCAGAACCGCTGAGCAACTGCAGTACCCTTCCCAGTAGACCATTTCTGGGGAAGGTTTATTCGTCTGGGCACTATCATGCATGGCCAGCGCAATTCAGATGGGGCCACCTGAGCTGAGCGGTTGTCCTAGGGCTGGAGCACTGTATTACCTCTTCTAATTACCTGTGTAGCTTTGGAGGAGCAGCCAACATTGGACTCTTGTGCCAAGTTAGCTCCTAAGCTCCCCCAGGCTGGAGCTGATTGTGCTGAGCCATTCAGAAGTTTGTGTGTGCTGCCCGGCTTTTTTTGCCTTTTTTTTTTTTTTTTTTTCATATCTAGGATATTTCAGCTCTTTTATTACTTTTACAGGGTTTTGTAGAGCAGACTGTACTGCATTTTAGAAACTACCATCTGGCAGTGTTCCCCAGCTGGGAGCTCTTTTGCACTTTCCTTTCCTTTGCACTTTTACTGTTAAGCAGAAACTGTATAGATGGCGCCCTCAAATTACTGCCAGTTAGAAACTGAATAAAAACACATCAGCTTTTAATATTAATCTGATGTTATTTGCATCATCGTGAAAAACGCAAGTGAAGCAATGTAAGCAAGGTCCTCTAGCTCTACAGTTTCAGCCTTAGTCTGATGGAATAAACATTCTGGGTGGAAGGCAGAATCATAGAAATACGCAGCATTTTCATGCCACTCTGTTTTTAAGGCCATCGTTAGTTTTTAAGTTGCTGTAGCAAAAGTATTCTGCTGAGATTCAGACCACAAGTATGCAAGAGATCTGGGCAAACCATCTGGCAAGGAGCTGGCTTGCCTGTGCTACCACCTGCAGGGCACTGTCCAGTATTGCATAAATCACTTGGCCACCGGCTGCTGCCAAATCTGGGGAAACCAGGGCATGGAGCAGGATTTATTCCCTTCTTGCAGAAGGAAATATCCTAACTGTGCCTGATGAGGAGCTTCCTCACTGTATGCTGGTTGGAAATCTCTCTAGACAGAGTTAGAATGGTATGTCTGATAAATAGAAGATGATTTTTTTCTGAAAGAACAAGAAATATATGTGTTGGAGGCATAAGAGTTTAATCAGAGAAGCATTGAGATTTTCAGGAAAGATGAGGAGAGCACTACAGGCAGAAGAGTCATGAACAGTTAATTCTCTCTCCCGCTCTGAAATTAAAAGTGGGAGTTGAGGAAGGAAGCCAATGCTTAAGTGGCTTTGTTAAGTCTTTGCAAATATTAGTTCTCATCATCAATCAAATAACTTCCATCATGTTGAGAAGTAAAAACAAAGGCATTTATCCAGACGATGAAAGTCAATGAGGGAGCAGAGTTTTGAATTCTGCTGGTTTGGTTGTCAGTTCTCATCTCTCAAAAGGAAACATAAGAGAAACTCTCTTTGATACTTAGAAAACTTAAATAGACTTCAAAGTCACTAGCGTCGAGAGGGAGGTACAGGGGAGGAAAAGAAAAGCATTAGGAGGAAAAATGTAAGGGTGTATACTTAAAACCTGGTATGGGGTTGGAGAAGAAAAGGGAAATTCTCTTTTTTAATTGTTTCAATTAGTCTGTATATTTATCTGTTCTCTTACTGCATTTCCAGGATGCAGAAAGCGAGAGAGAACTTGAAGAGATGCGGTCAGTCTGGGAAGAATAAATATGTAAAGGCTTATTCCACTTGATACTGCACAGACAGTAAAATTCCAGTTAAAGGGATTTCATGATCCTGACCACTTTGATTGATTGCACTTCATGGATAAGCCACAAGAGTTTACAGGAAAAAACACGCAGCAGTCTCATCAGCATGTCCAGGAAAAATGCTTGGTGGGATTTAATCGGATAAAATTTTGTATTATTTTCCTTCTTGCAGCACTGCATCTGTTTGATTTTAAAATTCCTAAAAAACGTAAAATTCCTAAAAACAGGGGGCGGGGGTGTATAGGTAGAATTTGTGATATAAAAATATTTGTGATTATGTATATATCATAGATATATGTGAGATACATACTTTGTGATATAAAAATATGGACACAAATATATACATATTTATATGTACACATACCTATTTTATGTCACAGACTCTACCTATCTAACAACCTGAACTTCAGGCCTGCTTGCTGGTGAGCTCTCAACTGATTCCTGAGGAAGTCTTCAGCCAAAATTTTTTTCCAATTAACTGTTTTCTCTTTTCCTTATTAATAAGTATTAATTGAATCAGTTGAAATAATAACTGATTGCATGCCTTTCATAGATGTTTAGGTGAGGTAAAATTCCAAGCCACTGTGCTCGGCAGTCAGTGTGCCGCTGATTTTTACCAGCGTGACGCACTGGAGGCAGCGGGATGTTCTCCCTGCCCTCAGCCTGGTGATTCAAATGGGCGCTGACACTGTGACCTAAGAAAAGGTAATTACAAAAAAAAGATGACAACAATGACTTAAAATGAGCGAGTTGTCAGCCCTTTCTTCCTTGCTGTGAAAAAATGGATGGTGGTGGCCAAAACATACTCTTGTTGGTCCTTCCCAGCTATGCCTAAACTACCTTTACTGGTTTTCCACTGGGGGGAAACCAGCACCGCTCACTATGGTGGGTTATTACCAGGGGACCAACAGATTTCCTTCACAATACAAACTTTATTTTTAAGAGGTGCACTGCTTTTGTCAGAGAAGCGAGTAATAAGATTTTAAGACTTCCTCCTTCACTCATGCGAGATTGAAAACTTCTTACGTCCTTCTAAACTACGCTGCTATGGTTTAGATGTAATAACTTAGTTTGAAAAGTAGTTATTTATCAGTGAAACACTGGTTACAGGAACAGGTATATTCTGTGGCAAAGGCGATGTTTCCCTGTGATGTTCTTCTACCAGTTCTTCTTGACTCATGAGGTGACACCGAGAAGGTGAAGCTGACAACTGACATTTCCTCTGACAGCTGCTGGGTACCAAACAGGAAAAGTAAACTGTGCTGTACACGGACACAAACGGTGAAGCAAAAGCTACATTCAAAAATTTCCCCAAATATTTAGCAAGGCTTTCTTGATATCCCTTCAAATTTCAACTGGCAGCTAACCGGACGCTTATTTTTTAATGTTTGTTCTGTCTTGCCACTTTATATAGTGTTTATGAAGTGTAAAGTAAAAAAGTGCAAGAGTAAAACATTTCTTAATCACCTTTTTAGTCCCTTGCACATGGTGTGTTAAACTGATGGGGTTTTTACTTTGTGAAAATAACACTGAAGGGGAAATGCGTAGCAAACTCGAGCTTAAAAACGTCCCATTTTATAGATTTGGCACTTTTTAGCCTCCCCTCCCCCCCCAATTAAACTCTCTAAAATTTTGGTGCTGAACTCATCTCATGAGATCCAAGCAAGTTTATTTGCTTAAAATGCTAACAATTGATACTTATGAATGAAGAACTGCATCCTGACAGGGTACAGTTGATCCCTGTGTTTTTGCGCAGAGCTCTCCTTGCAATGAGAGGGCACTTGATCTGTAATTGTGGGACATTTTTATATTTAATGTATGCTTTTCTTGCAGTTCTTCAGTGGAATGATGAAGCTGCCTTTTTTACTTAGTGTGAATCTGTCTTGTTTTGAGTATTTCCCAGTGGATGACCATTTTCTTCTTCTAGACATCCAATCTTTAAATAATTGCACAAGTTTTTCAGCTGTTTTCTTTTTGGTTGCTTAAGCCGAGCTGGGAAATCCTCAACAGTGATATCCGAGAGGTGATGATCAGCAACTTGATTCCTTCATGGAGGATTTGCAGGGGTTTTTTTCTGGAGAGAAATGGTAATAGCTCTCAAAACAGTCGTATAGTTAGCTGTACTTGCATTGCCTTTCCTTGCCAGCAAATCCCAGAGTGATATTAATCAGTAATGTTTGCTGTTCTGTGTGTTGCTCAAACGTTGCTGCCTTCCAAAAGTAAATGGTTTCAGCGTATGTAATAGGAAGAGTGCGAAAAGGAAATATTTACACTACAAAGAGTCCGTAGCTTTGCTTACTTGCAGACTTCTTCAAGCCTTCACCTGTTGTTTAACTTGTCAAAACATAAACTGTTCAGAGGAGCCTTTGGATTATGTATTTTCTGGAGATAACTTTCACTCTGTGTTTCCACAGATTTAAATTCTCCTTTGATTTTTGTGGGGTGTCTGTTTCAAAACAACAAGGGGTTGTAGGCTTGAGGAAAAAAAAAAAAGCCAATTTGCTGTTCCTTTCATCTGCTGCTTGGGATTCTGTGCTGGGTTAGGTCTGAGTATGTATGTTAGGAGGGGGATACATGAGGAAAGCATTTTGTTAATTTGTTAATTGCCAAGGGGCTGTATTGGTTGGCAGCACCTCTCCGGATAAGCAGCCGCTGTTAAAAGTCCTCATGAAAGAGTGTTGTAAAAACACAGGTTTGGGTTACAGGCCAAACCGCCTGTTCGGAAACTGATACCAAAAATCTTGTTTTTCTTACCAATAGAAACTGAAGGTGTTTTCTTTGGGGGGGGGGGGGGGGGGGCATTTGGTGCAGTCGTGTGGGCCATACTGGGCTGTGACCAGAACCTCTGCTGTCTTTGAGTAAAAATAACCTGCTTTCCTGGAGGAAAAGGTGGTAATTAAATTATGGCAATTCTTCTCACTTGGCATTCATTCTCAGATGATTTCACATGGATGCAACCTTTCAGCTCTCATTTATTCTATTTCAGACCTTCGGTGAACGCTTTAAGCTTTCTGTGTGTTTGATTGCCTGCTTCACATTTTATGTTTTGGTTTGTTTGGGTTTTTTTTTTTTAATCAGTTTTGGCTTAAAAGAGCAGGGTCTGGTGTTTCGCTCCCCCATATCCTTTGTGTGTGTGGTCTTGTCCCTTTCTTGGGGGATCTGAAGTCGAGAGGTCTGTTATTCTGGTTTTCATACAGGAAGGATTTCCTCTGGCGGCACAGCTCCTGCCGGGAGAGCTGGGGCGGAGGTTTGTGTCTAGCGTGTTATTTTTTCTCGTCTGCTGTATCTGCTGGAACCTAATTAATGCGTCTCTAAGACGACGATGAAAGGCAATGACAGAACTCGCAGATCCTTTCAAGTACAGATAAAAGCTGTATTTTGCTGTTTTCAGTCTGATCTCCAGGAAGTTATGACATAACGATCAAAAGAACCTTTTTCGTTTTGGTTTTCCCTTTTCCTGGCTTGTTGTGAAGAAGAAGAATGTGACTAATTAACATAATTTAATTCTAATAGCATAGCTTGCAGGTTGATGTGGAGATAAGGCAAGGCTGTGTAACTAAAACACTTCCCAATCAACAACACTTGGGGTTTATTTTTTGATTTAGCCTCCTGTTAGGCTCTTGCTATGCCGCACGCTGGGGAGGGGAAGCCGTTCCTCCTGTTTGCAAGGGGAGGATGTGCTTCAGTAGCTTTCAGACAACATGGAAATTGAGACTTTTTAAAATTTGCACATGCTTTGCAGACTAATCCCAGAGTACAATGTGAATTTCTTGAAGATGCCTGCACTGTATACATTCCAGGACCAGAAGAAATTAATTTGCCTGGTATGATTTTGGTAGAGAAGCACTCTATCCTGCTCCCATCCAGATAAGTTTTCCTGGACTTATCCCAGGGTGAGAGAGAATAATTTCCTGGAGCTCCTGTTGTCTTAATTTTAAAACATACCTACCTGTGGTTAAATTATGATACTAAAGAATAACTGAAGCTATTTAGCTAATTTATCCTCACTGTGCTGTTCTGTTTGAAATAAAGTATTTATAAATAAGGAGAAGAGGATCCTGCTTAAAGTTACCTGTGTTACTCTCTTGCTTTTTATGCCAATACATACATAGGTGAAGAAACCCGACAGCCGGGTGGAGGTCGTCTGCGTAACATCGTTGTACTGGTACGCATGGTGGCTGTGCCAAATGCAGCAGGAAATTATGGGAAAGTAACCTACAACGTTATTGTTCATAGATCACTGTTTGTATACATAATGATGTGGGTTACACCTGTAGCAGATTTTGTATGTCAATACAAGGACTACTGCTTACATTTTTAAAATGCACCAAAGTAATCCAGCCACATTTTGTGGCACATGATGTACTCCAAGTGAAGTTGTTTTTAAATAAAGGCGGATAATCAGTTGTGACCCGGTGTGAGTATTCTGCGTCCAACCTTCACAATCCTGAAGACCATCTTTATCTTCCCCGGGACAAAAACCATAAACAAGGGGCTTGCAGGCTGTGTTTAGTGCTGGCTCTGAGTGGGTTAGACCACCTGATTTTTAGCTCATTTTACTTCAAATTACTTTGCAGAGAGAATGAGTGATAACACCGACTGTGCTTCAGTGCTCCTCAAAATCCACTTAGTTCGGGAGTTCTAATGCAGTAGTTGTACAAAGGAATAAGGAAAGTGGGAAACAAGGTTTAGGTTCCCCATCCTCGGACAAGGGACATGGGAGTCGCCTGCAACCGCGAGCGTGGAAGAAGTCTTCTCTCAGAAGGTGGCCTGAACACCACCAAGGATCGCTTAGACAGCTTTGTCTTTCCCTGGTGCAGAATTAGGGCTGTCTTCGGTGTGCAACGTCTCTGTGATCTCGCTCCTTTATTTCCTCCTCAAGGTGAGATTGTAGCATCCTCTAGTGCACTGGGTCACCTTACAGAGAGTTTTGGTTTGCCGAAGAAAAGGAGCCGGAGCCATTACGAGGGGCATCCTGCCAAGGTCTGCTGCTTTGGAGAGAAGAGGACTCCAGAAGCAGAAAAGGGGTTTGTGCAGGATGGGACCTGTGGCACAGGCAGGTCTTTGGCTTAGCCAGAGGTGTGACACACTGAGGATACCGCGTCAGGGATGGACGTGTAGGTACCCTGTTGTTTAGTGTAAATCTCTTGACTCTTTGATCATCGGAAGTTTCCGAATGACTTTTAAAAGGGATGTTTTGCAATACTTGAGTGATAACTCAGTGATTGAGGGAGTGGTGGCTTAGAGCGCAGTTGGGAAAGTGGTTTTGAGCAACTTGGACATCTGTGAGGGGACGTCAGCATTGATCCTCTGGCTTGGGACAGGGTAGCCTGGTCAGAAAGAGGGCTTTGAAAGCAGACAAATTCCATTATGTAGTTGGTTTCCAATAAAAAGAGCATACCAGAGCTGTGACCACCTCTCCCATGTGCTGGGAAACTTCTGACTCGGAACAGGAATGTCAACATCCCTTTCTCCTAGGAATGGGACAGTCATTCTGACTCCCACCCTGGCTTATTTCTGCTAAACCCAGATTTTTTTGGTTCAATGACACTTGTAATTCCTTGGAAATTCCCTGGCAAAATCTGACCTGCACAGACTGCTTGGTTTGAGAGACAACCTGAAGCGGGAGGGTTGCAAGCAATGGCCTTGCTGTCTTGTTTTTAAAGCAATTCTTGCTGCTAGATGAGTAACCGCCAGGTGATGTGAAGGAGCAGTCGCTGTTTTATTCAGAGTTATTTAGCATAAGTGCACTGCAAAGTCTCCTGAATATGGTAAATAAACTGTTGGGTTTTTTTCAGCAGAAAACACTGATAGAATTAAAATTTACATAAGTTGACTAGGCTAATATTTGAGTATTGTATGCAAAGCAAATAGTAAAATTGGAGAAAAAGCAGACCTTAGGGAAATGTTTTCACTGTGAAGGGAAATCGAGGTCAAAAGGCAGTGGGGGAAGAGAGTGGGGAATAAGATTGAACAATTAACTGCTTGCTATAGACCTGCCGTGCTTCTGGTTTTGCACATACAGGCAGCCACGGCAGTATCGGGCATGAAAACACGATCTCGGTAACTTCAGTAGCAAGAGATTTAGTTCTTTTCATAAAATGTATTTAATTTTTGCTTTCTCCAAAGTAGAAATCTGAGAAGGGCTCAAGACCCTGAAGGCAGACAAGATAATACAGGATTGTCCCCTGTCTCTGTAGAGTCCCATATATATAACAAAAGTCAGCTTCTTACAGACTGGCTTGATGTCAGCTTGACTGTGGTGTAGAAGTTAAAGACCTTTTGGATCAGGTTTTAATAATTAAGATGTTTATGAAAAGCAGAAGAGGCTCTGAGATTTGTCTAGGCTCCCTGTGCTGGGTTGCTTACATACCTGCAGTGAATTGTTTTGAAGGCAAGATTAATAACGGGCTGATTGCTTTTCTTCTTTGTCAAAGGCTTAGTTCTGCAGCCAGGTCTCTTGTGTGTCTTTTGCTTAATAATAGAGAGCACGTTCCAGCATTTCGGTGGCTCAGAAGCTGGGGTGGGAGCAGTGCAGTACCTGCCTGCGTGCAAAGACGGCTGTTGTTGCGGACGAGGAGCGGGAATGAGTTTGGACGCAGGGGACTGTAAACACACAGTGCGTTTCCCAGCATCCTGCTTCCATGTTAAAAAAAAAATCATATTTCTTGGCAGCAGCTCTCCTTAAACATGAGAAATGAGGTGGTCAAAGTATTGCAAAATCATTCAAGTAAGTGCTGGAAGTGGGTTCCTCCCCCGCCGGGGAAAGAAGAGCTGCGGTCGTATGCTTTGCACGGCGCTGCCATGACCTGCGCGGCAGCATTTCAGTGCCACAGCAAACGTGTACACCTAAATCTTCACGATCTGGGCTGGAAGAGCCCCAACTTTAAATGCCTCATGCGTCGGTAGGAACTGGAGGTAGGGAGGGAAGCACGGCTGGGGAAGTGGAGCGGGATGCTCCTGGGGCCGTTGAACCTTGCTGCGCCCCGGGCAGGCGGCACCACGGGCAATGCCGGAGCGAGTCACAGTGGGGGTCCTCGTCCAGCCCAGCGCCTTTGCCTCCTCCTTGGCCTTCGTTAATGTAAAGAGTAGAGGGATGTTCAGTTTTAATGACAGAGGATGGCCTGCACACCGTGTTCCTGTGTCAGCTGCTGGCAGGTAGAGAATAATATAAAGCCCAGGAAAAACCAAGGGATATTTATCAGCATCCGACAGTATTCTTGGTGAGCAGCAGTGACCTCACCTGTTTTTTTGGTGGGTGGGGGCCAAGGAGGGGGAGCAAAACACACTCAACGTGCAGGTGGGTTTACACAGAGCCTTAGGGATCTGAATCTCGCCTTGTTTCAACTCAAACGGCTGCTGCTGCCTTCACTTCGTGCTGGTTCCCATGGGGTTATGGTGGGCCTGTTGCTTCTGTTGACCATGAGTGTCGTGGTCATACCAGTGCCACCGGTAGCACTGCAGTGTGGGATGGCCTTGAACGTGTCCCTGTGCTCTGAGATGGCTGAGGCCCTGGGGCTGTTCCCATGTTCATTCTCTGGTTTAGTCTACCCATAAAATAAGGTTGAACAAATAACCACCTGTGGTCCCGGGTGGGAAGGCTGGCCACTGGGCAAGGAGCGCGGGAGCCTGTGGTGTCAGCATCTCCAGCATGTGCTGCTGTCGAACAGAGGGTCTCCAGCTGGACCACAAAAGCTGAAGACGACCATCAGTGGCAAAACTCCGAGCAGGCAGGATATGATCCCAAGATAACTACTGGTTTCCGTCTTAGGACATCTTAAGGGATGTTTTCACAGATGCGTGTCTAAAGAGGAGGAGAAAACTTGCACTTGCTTTCGAACCTTGGTACCACGGAGCTGTTGCTGACCACTGACTTGTTCACGCTCAGCAATTTTAATGGCCCATGGAGGCAGCTGTGGCATACCCAGGGTGGCACTGGGAACCCACCAGTCCTGATGCTCATGACCAGGACTTCATTTCTGTGCTGTACTTCAGGGGAGTTTCAAATCCTACTTGTGCTCTTCATGTTCTGGGTAAGGATTTATGTCATGCATTTGCACCAGATGAGAAAGTTCCCCCTCCCCCCCCCAAACCTTCCTGAACCTCCTTTCACACCATTAGTAACACATGAAGAGCTGGCAAGTGGGTATTAAAGTATGCCGTAGCAGAAAACATTACTGGGGCAGTGTTTCAATGGGTGAAATGAAAATGAAGTCAAGAAAGGCAGCTGCGACCCGAACAACTGACTCTGAGTTGTTATGGGAAATCCCAGCGTGCTTTTTAGGACCAGAGTTTTCCTGATGAGAGCAAACACCAGCACAGGCAGGTGGAAAATTATTTCTGCCACCTTCCCCCTCCAAAAGACATAAATCCAGCCTTACCCATTGGTAAAGCCTCTGAAGGAGATAAATTGCCTGTTGGTAAATTATTGTCATTAGGAGGGGATTTGTGCCATCCTCTGAAGCTCCTCAGGGTGGCCACAGGCTGGTGGCACTGAGATAAGCATGGTTTTAGCTTGTGTGGCTGTTTCTGTCCTACCTTTTGGGGGCAAGGGGGTGAGAAAGCCCCCCCCCACCCATGCCAAAACCTTCCCGAACTTCCTTTCACACCCAAACTGGAGCAGGGAGACTTGCTCATGGCTTCAAACTGATGGGGCCATCCTCCCTCTCCCCAGCAGCTGGTCCTTAAACTCTTCTTAAGCTCCATCAACAACACACACACCACCCCCCCACTCAGCCTCCCTGAGCTCCTGCATGGCTTTCCTTGATGTTGGGAATCGCATCCGCCCCCGCAACCATCCTCCTCCAGCTTTCTGGTGAAGCAAATTACTCCTTGCTGCACCCTGGGGTGAAGCGGGGGTCCGGTCCTTGCGGGGAGGTCCCTGTGGGGAGGTGGGTTTGGACCTGTTTGGGGGTGGGAAGGTTCAGGGGGGTGCAGGACGGGGGCTCAGATGTGAACGATGCTTCCAGCCACCACCCTCCCGGAGAAAAGGAGCGGAGCCAGGTCCTGTGTCAAAGGCATTTATTGCTGCGGGGACTCACTGCGCTTCGCCCTGCAAACAGGGACGGGGATGCGCTGCGGCAAGATCCACCTGCGGGCAAAGCATGATCCGTTCCCCCCCCACCCGCCCCGGCCCTGCCAGCTCCAAACCAAGGTGGGGTGCAGCACAGATGGGACCCACCACCCACCCGCAGCAGACGCTCAGGACTGGATGAGCACGGGCTGCCTCTGCCGCGCGGTGACGGTGAAGGGCCGCGGCTTCAGCGCCAGCCCGTGGATGCAGTCCATGGTGAGGTTCTCCGCCGGGTTGGCGTGGAAGGAGCACTGGTGGAGGAGGATGGCAGTGAAGAGGAAGAGCTGAAGCTTGGAGAGCTGGTCGCCGATGCAGCGCCGCTGGCCGGCTGAGAAGATCATGACGCTGCCGGCTCGGTCGCGGTCCAGGCGCTGCTGCACATCCAAGAAACGCGCGGGGTCGAAGCGTTGCGGGTCGGGCCACTTGCCGCAGTCGTGGTTGACGGACCACTGGTTGATGAAGACCACGGTGCCCTTGGGGATGTGGAAGCCCTCAAGCTCCACGTCGTCTGTGGTAGCGTGCGGGATGGTGATGGGCACGAAGCTGGTGTAGCGCAGCGTCTCGTAGATGAAGGCCTCCAGGAGGGGCAGGTGGGGCCGATCCTCGGCCGTGGGCAACCGGGAGCGTCCCACCACCCGGTCCAGCTCAGCCTGGAGGTCCCGCTGGAGCCGCGGGTGCTTCAGCAGCAGCAGGAGGACCCACGAGAGCGCTGTGGACGTGGTGTCCTGTCCTGCGCCAAAGATGTCGGTCATGGCGCCCTCCACGTCCTCGGGTCCCAGCCCCTCGGGGGGCCTCTCGCTGCGCTCGACGGCGGCGATCATGACGTCACTGACGTCGCGGAGGGCGCGCGGGTCAAAGGTCTGGCGGTGCTGCGCCACCTTGGCGCGCACGAAGCCGTGCAGCTCCCGGTTGAGGGCTTGGAAGTCGCGGAAGACGCGGCGCACGGGGTTGGGGAAGCGCAGGAGCCAGGGCAGCACGTCCACCACGCTGCCCGCCCCCACCGTCTGCCCGAAGCGGTCGTTACGGCCCAGCAGCGCCGCGAACTCGCCGTCGGCATGGCCGTAGCGGCGGCCGAAGCAGAGGGCGCAGAGGACGTTGGCGTTGGCCACCACCAAGAGCGGGGCGGGTTCGAAGTAGGCGCCGCCCTGGCTGCGCTGCAGGAAGAGCCGGACGAGGTCCCCCGCCTCGGCCGCCACGTGCCGCTCCACCTCGGCCGCCGTCGAGCGGGCGCGCAGGGCGGCGTGGGCCAGGCGCCGGCGAGCCCTCCAACGGGGCGAGCAGGACCCGAAAGCCACGCTACGCCCGCCGGACACCAGCTCGAAGGACGGGAAATCCGGCCGACCGGCGAAACGGGCGCCCGAGCCCACCAACGCCCGCCGGATGACCGCCTCGCCGTTGAGCACCACCGCCCGCCGGCGGCCCAGCCGCAGCTGGAAGACGGCGCCGTACCGACGCTCCAGCCGCCCGAAAGCCAAGTGGGGCAGGCGGCCCAGCTGCAGCGCGTTGCCCACCAGCGGCCACGCGAAGGGGCCCGGGGGGCTCCTCTTGCCCGAAGAGCCCCCCCGGCTGCCGGCTCGCCGGCGGGCCCCGGCCAGCAGCAGCAGCAGCAGCAGGAAGAGGAGGGCGCCGAGCGCCGGCGCCGCGGCCGCCCCGTCGGGGCTCCCCGCC